TAAAAAAGACTAATAAATAAGACAACCCTATTATTTATGACATTATCTAAACAGGCTCAAGAGTAATACACTACTGTATAGTGCTTCTTAAAACAGTAGCATAGACAGAAAGCCAGCTCACTTTTAAAAGCCTGCTGTCTTCTTTTGGTCAATAACAACTAACTTCTGAGCAATCAAGTAACCACCAGTGGCGCTGGCTGTGGGGGGCTGGTGTACATTTGAAGCGAGACAAAAAGTTGCTGGGGGTGGGGGTGGGGGGAGTGTGGTGGGCTGCCCTATTCCCACTCTGTGGTGGTGCCGGGTTTTTACACACAAAAAAAAATCCAAAAAATTCCAATTTGGATTTTGCAGATAAAAAATTACTTTAATGGTCCTCAATGATATATTTCTCATATCTGCAGTACTTATCTGAGGTCTCTGAATCAGTCAGATCCAATAATACTTTGTTAAGGATTTGCCTTTTTTTAAAAATTATAAGATTTTTTGAGGAAGTTTGTTTTAATTAATATATTAACTGAACAAGACTCCAAAGTCCATCCTTCTTTGAGGAATGCATTAGTTAAATATTAGGAGAGTGCTGAGAATCTAGAATATAACTAAACTACAGTTTATGGATGAAGAAAACACTTTGTCTTTCTTTGTCCATAAGACTGTTTTAAATTTCAAACGTATGCAGAATTGTGAAAAATTCTTCAATTCGGTCTTAATTTGAAAGCTGGTTTTCACACAGTTCGTAAAAAGAACTGACTAAAGAACTAAACTGAGACTTCATTTAATCATTTTCCTCAATTCTTTGCAATTTTTCTGTACTAGTATATTGAATATAATTTGAGATCACTCACCCCATTGTTTTAGGTGGACTGGCATTGTTACATGATTGGAATTGTTGATGTGAGAATAGCTGATATTGCTGGAATAAGTGATTAAGTAAAAAAGGAAGACAGACGTACTTCTGCTGCCCGACCAGAAACACTACTGTGTTTTAAATGTAGACAGACTGAACAGACTAGCTAAATGTTATTCCTAACAACATTTGAACCCATTTCTATGGTGGATTGGCAGATATGATACTGGGGTCAAAAATGGCGATATTCAACAGATGAGTCTCAAATATCAATTCAGATGGTAACACTTTTGCCTGGCTATTGTTCTGCACAAATTGAATGCCGTATTTGCCTAAAAAATACAGGAAGTCACACTTTATGATAAATCCTGTGACATGCTTTGAGATGATTCACTGATATAATAAGCCATTATATCAATTACCAGGATTATTTATTATCCTTCACTCATCTGATCGAAAAGGAGGCAGGAAAGCTGACAGTGATGCACTCGAGCAACCATGAAAAACAGGCATTTTCAGAACACTAAGAAGTACATTTTATTCTTAAATAAAGCATGCTACTCCGTTATTAGGATGAACCAATTGATTTTACAGCAAAGATGAAAATTATATTTAAAAAATGCATCTCCAAACTTTACAGCAATACCAATCTTCCCAAAAGAGGTTCATTGCTAATGCTACACTAGCTCTATACGATGTACACTGTGTAACTTTACAGGATGATTGGACACTAAGTCAGTTAAAATGCCTATTTATGTTTCTGTTGAAATTGTAATCAAGTGAAAATATTCCCCTAAATACAATAGTCGTGCCTCCCGCTCCCCCTGGCTCGTTGTTGGGCTACGTCACTGTGAAGCCCTCTGAGACACTACCCTGCATGAAGGGAGATATATATAAATGCAAATTGCTGTTGTTGGAGTTGACGTCAGCCATAAAAGTCAAGTCAAACCAGTGCACAGGTCTACAATAAAAGGTAGTAATAACTGCAAATTGCTGATGACCAATGCAACATTAAGTGTACAAGTATGAAAATGTCTACCACAGAACACATGTTAAAGTGTCATTGTAGCTGTGGAAAATAGTGATTTCTATCGATTCTGGTTAGTTTCTCTGTGGACCATGGAAGTATATACGTTCCACTGATTTGGGATAAGTGAATTCTACTGAAGTAAGACCAAATGGTGCCATCATAGACACCCATATATTTAGCACATTTACAATTTATTCGAGGGTCATAGATTTATTTCAGAAGGAGTCCCTTCCGTAATTTTCAGTTGATTAGCTGAGATAAATATCAGCAGAAATAAGAGTACACACAAAATCAAACATACATTTGCATACTTAACAGCATAGAGTTTAATTACATACTTCTAATACTTCTACTGATCAACCCGTTATTTATAATTGTTTTTAAATAATTTAGTTTTCTGTTCAGAAATCTTTTGAAATGTTTGGCCAAAATTACACCTTTTTTTCTTGTGTCCTGATGGCCTAGTGGGTGTACAGTAGCACTACAGTGGTAATAGAACTGAACGATAGACACCACGAATTCTCAGGTTTGAACCCGAATCTACCCTCAGATTAGATGACCTCAGCAAGTGTGGCCCTAGAGATAACTGGCCTCAGCGCTCCTTTGTTACGAAGAGAAAAATTAGCCAGGATCCTAATGGCTTACTGGACTTGGCAATCAAGCTCATTGTTGACAATGTTATTTAAGTAAACCTTCCTAGAATAGTATTGTGATACCATCTGTATTTGGATCCGGTTTAATCTCGGACATGGCCTGTTTCAATATTTACTTTAAACAGTCACCTTTGCCCTTTTTTTAATATATTATTTACACCAGCTTGCAGAGGTTCAAAGTGCACAGTGAAACTACTTACTCGCAACTCTCATCTTCAACCTGCTTGTGACGCTGAAGTCAATGTTCCAAGCAACAATAATAACAAATTACATTAGTATAGCTCCTTTCACAGCGGGAGGACAGTTTGAGAGTTGGACCCGAGCTGGGGGTTGAGATCAGGAGGGATTGAGGCCAGGGAGGGAGGGTAGAGTGCCCGAAGGTGGAGTCAAAGCGGAGGGTCTTGAGATGGGCCTTGAAGGACGCAAGGGAAGGAGCAAGGTGAAGGGACTGTGGGATGGAGTTCCAAAGAGTGGGGGCAGAGAGGCTGAAGGCCCGACCACTGATGGTGCTGAGAGCCAGGTGGGAGATGTGGAGCAGCCTGCTGAGGAGAGGGAGTGGACAAGTTGATATGGAGTTAGCAGGTCACAGAGGTAGGGAGAAGCTAAGCAGTAGAGAGCGTTGAAGGCAAGGATGAGGATTTTGAACTCTATCCTCTGGGGGATGGGGAGCCAGTGGAGCTGGGCGAGGGTGGGGATGAGGAGTCTGGTGTGGGACAAAAATTACAATAATATACATTTAGACAGTGCATTTCATGTCAAGAGGATATCTCAAATAGTTTTACACAGTTGTCTGGCAGTCCAAGCTGGGAGGGTGAGGAGAGAGCTGAAGAGGGGGATGGAGTTATATGTAGCCAAAAGCATAGGGGAAAATAGAGATTTTAAGGCGTGTTTTGAAGGCAGAGGGCAAGTGGAGAGAGACTTGACCATACTTTGGACGGAATGGACAAGAGACACTAAGCAGATGGGTGTTTGTGATAGAGGGAGCAGCCGAGATAGAAGGGTCACAGGTGGTCACAGAAATAGGGTGGGGCAAGGCCATGGCAACATTTGAAAATGAGGATGGGGAGAGAATCTGAGAGATGGGGAGCTAGTGGAGCTGGGCAAGCGTGGGGGTAACAGAGTCTGGTCCAGGAGAGGACACAGGCTGCAGATTTCTGGATGGAGAATGTTTTTGATAACTTTAACCAGTCACTGTGCCATGAGCGGGCCAGAAGCCGGAAAACAGGTGCTGGATGAGGGAGTGGTGGGAAAGGAAGGAGTGAAGGTGGGAGGTGACAATTTGTTCCAGAACCTTGGAGAGGAAGGGTAGGTTGGACACGGAGCGGTAGCTGAATAGCATGAAAGGTCAAGTAGAGGAGTTTTTTGAGGAGGTTGGTTTTAAAAAGAAGATGGTATGTACCAGTGGAGAGAGGGTGAGGTTCCGGGGGTTAAAGAGAAAACAGTGGAGATAGAAGTGCTAACAACTGGTAATCTTCAACTTACTTATGAGACTAAAGTAATGTGCCAATAATTGAAGCGAAAACACTGCTTATGAAAGCTTCACTGAGAGCAAAAGCATTATGAGTTATTAACACCCAGGGACATTAGTTGAAGTGAAAGGTTCCCAGTGCTGTGGGTGAAGTACTGTTGAATTCAGTGAGAAAACAATTATCAGAAAAGAAACTGGCACTGCAAAACCTCCAGACCATTGCCCTCAACGTTAGTTCTCACGGGTCAACCACTCGAAATAACCGTCCGAACAGTAAAAGGGAAAAGGGGTGAAACTTCACTGCACTTTTTAAAGGCATCAACGTTTCGATATGAAATCGGTGAAACTGAAACTCGTCCACAGCTTTGCATCGCCGAATCACTGCCACGCAGTTTGAAGCCACTTTATTCCACGCATTGCTCTTGACTGGTGTTTTTATTTTTTTTTCAACCAGCAAAAAAAAACACGTACAGTGACATTTCACGTTTTACACGTCTCAAATGTGACAGCAGCGAAACGAACGCACAATTTAACGAATACAAATGAAGACGAGCGACAGGACACACGACGCCTAAACGCTGGGGGTTGGCGAGTTACATCTTTAGGGTCGAGCCACGGGAGTTTCTGGCAGCATCTTTTTTTTTCCAAAAAAAAAGGATTTTTTTTTAAAAAAAAGGATTTTTTTTTAAAAGAAAAAAAAAGTTTTGCAAAGGTAAATGCCAAAAAGGGGACTCGAAGAGGAAGTTTTCCGGTTGTCTTTCTGCAGCAGCAGATGCACAAACTCATTCGCTCTCAGTTCAGTTGGACTCTACTGCTGAAAAGGGACCCATAGCACTGGGCTGTCCCCAAACCTTGATGGGAGTGTTGGGGGACACTTCGCCCCCTCTCTGAACGTTTCCCTGGCCATGGGCAGTACCCCCCCACCCCCACCACCCTCCCCACCCTCCATGTAAAGCTCAGCCCCACTGCAGTCAGCCCCTGGGAATGGAATGAAGTATCTCTTACCAGAATGGACTTGGTGCGCTGCAAGAACTCATCCATCTTTCTGCTTTATGTGGGGACCGCTTGAGCTCTGCATTTGAGGCTGCTGGTGGGGGGGGGGGGGTACAGGAAGGGAGGAGGGGAGAGGGTACAGGAGGGGGAGAGGAGGAGGGGAGGAGGAGGAGGGGGAGGGGGTACAGGAGGAGGGGAGGGGGTACAGGAGGGGGAGAGGAGGAGGGGAGGGGGTACAGGAGGAGGGGAGGGGGTACAGGAGGGGGAGAGGAGGAGGGGAGGGGGTACAGGAGGGGGACAGGATGAGGAGGGGAGGAGGTACAGGAGGGGGAGAGGAGGAGGAGGGGAGGGGTACAGGAGGGGGAGAGGAGGAGGAGGGGGAGGAGGAGGAGGGGGGAGGGGAGGGGGTAGAGGAGAGGGGGGAAGAAAAAACAAAAGTTGAGCTGCTGCTGTGTTGGGTTGTAGTATGTTGCGGGTGGGGGCTGATAGGGTTGGGTTGGGTCTTGTCTCGCACCTGCACCACCTGCACCACCTCCTCCTCCTCTGCGTTGAGCGAACCCCCCCCACCCCGCCTGCCTCCCCGCCACACAGAGCTATCTTGCCTGTCCTGTCAGAGACTGGAGCAGAGCAGAAGCAGAAGCAGAGCACAGCACTGGGAGGGGAGAGAGAGAGAGAGAGAGAGCACTCACACAAACACACACACTCACACTCACACGTTCAGGCGGTGCCGATGCGTTGACTGTAACCAATCAGACAATTGTGACCCAACCGCCTGACATCATCTCGGAGATGGTGCAGTTTGGCAGAGGTTCAGAGGGAGAGATTTTTTTTTTCTCTCTCTCTCTCTCTCTCACTTGCCTGAGACCTCATCTGCAGTGGAGGCAGCAGGTTGCAGTGAGATTGCCGGTCAAGGGAGGGAAAGGAAAGCGGGGAGGGAGGGAGGGAGGGAGGGAGGGAGATGGAAGGCAGGAAGGAAAGGGGATGGAATGAACTCATGATTCCCTGCATTGGATGCAGCGCCCGTGTCGCGTCGTGGCGACGTCTCAAAGGGCTTCTTCAACAGCGAAGTGAATCGACTGTTGTTTTGTGGGCGAAAAGACATAAACGGGAGGGAAGAGAAACAAAAGAGGAATGGAAGAGAGAGAGAGAGAAAGAAAGAGAGAGAGAGAGAGAGAGAGAGAAAGAAAGAGAAATAAGCTGTTTGCCATTATTTTCTGCCTGGTTTGTGATTTTTCGATGGACTGCTCTCATTTCAAAGAGAGATTTTTTTGCATATAAAAATCTTGATTTATATTCCTTCTCATTGCAAATTCACTTCCTTCCCACCCTATTCAAACTAATTGGCAACTCATTTCATTGCTGTCCATCGGACATTGCTGTGCAAATTAACTGCTGTGTTTGCCAACTTTCATTTAATTTCAAATTAATCTCTTCTACAGCGCTTTGAGGCTTCTTTTGTGTGAAACATGCTGTGTAAATGTAAGTTGTTGCTGACAAACTTATTTTACTCTGAGCATCTTTTAAAGAGCAATATCCCAGTTGGAAAGTGTTCAATAAACTTGTTTTTTAGGGGAAAAGGCAGAAGACGTGTGCATCATTTTCATCAAAATGATGTGCATAATGGAAGTGATTACATATGTCAGTAAAGGTTACACCATTGCGCATTGTGCACTGTGATGCACCCAAATGCCAAATAGTGGGGCTTATCAAATCATCGTTGGGCCAATGAACTTGAATGAAATTAATTTATACTACAATATATTGTTTTTTTAAAAAATCTATTTAACTGGCATTTTTTGATTCCTTTCAGCTCTGGTAAACTGCTGCACTATGGACCTTGACTCTTGGCTTCTTAAAAAAAAAGTCATTTATCGATGCCAATTTAGATTTAGCAGTGAGATTCAACCCACTAATTTTTTTTAATGCTAAACTTTTGTAGATAGCAAGAGAGGTGTGACCCATTTGATCTCATCTTTCTAGAATAGCTATCTTCCCATCTTCCCATACAGCATCAAATTGTTTCTTCAATGAGTCCAGACGTCTTGCCTCAAACACTTCTTAATAATGAAAACACTGGAAATGATACAATGTTTGCTCTGGATAAGAAAATATCGTCCCCAATGTTACTCTGAAGTTTAATATATGTAAACAAGCTGAGCACACAAATGAAAAGCTTTTGATGTGCTTCAAATACCACGTTGGAGTCAGCAACCATTGAAAATCGGACGTATGTTCCAACCTCCAACTATCCATCAAATATCTGAATTTTGTGAATGAAAAAAAAGTTGGAGCGGAAGTCCTGAACCTCTTTTGTGTTTGAGGCTGAATCCAAATTTTACTTAACAAATTTTTGTGGCCATTATTTCTCATGAAAAAAACTGGATGTCTGTTCCAAGTTCATCGAAAGTGTATCAACAACAACAACAATAAAATTAAGTTTGTATTGCGCCTTTCACGTCGGGAGGACGTCCCAAAGCTTCGGACCCGAGCTGGGGGTCGGGATTGGGGAGGGTGGAGGGCAGGGGGGGAAGGAGGGTGATCGAAGGCATAGTCAAAGAGGAGGGTCTTGAGATGAGTCTTGAAGAAGGCAAGGGAAGGGGCGAGGTGGATGGACTGTGGGATGAACTCCAGAGGATGGGGGCAGAGTAGCTGAAGGCCCACCCGCCAATGGTGACGCGGGCGAGGCAGGGGACATAAAGCAGGCTGGAGCCCACTGAGCAGAGGGAGCGGGCAGATTGGTAGTGGGTTAGGAGGTCGCAGAGGTAGGGGGAGCAAGGCCGTGGAGGGCTTTGAAGGTGAGGACCAGGATCTTCCTCTGTGTGATGGAAAGCCAGTGGAGTCGGACAAAGATGGGGTGATAGGATCATACAACGTGGTGCGGGAGAGGAAATGGGCTGCAGAGTTCTGGATGATCTGCAGCCTATGGAGGGAGGAGTTGGGGAGGCCGTCAAGCAGGGAGTTTGTATAGTGAAGCCTGGATGTTATGAAGGCATGCATGAGGGTTTCGGCGGTCTGTGGTGTGAGACAGTGGCAGAGCTGGGCGATGTTGCGGAGGTGGGGGAAGATAGCAGGTCATCGAACGGATGTGGGGTAGGAAGGATAGTCGAGGAACAAGACGCCAAGGTCCTGGATTGGCTCAGTGAGGTGGAGTGTGCATCCATGGACGGTGATGCTGTCAGCGCCTGGGGTGTGGGGGCGCAGACGGGAGCCAATCTGGAGGCCCTTGGTCTTGTTGAAGTTAAACTGAAGAATGTTAGCTCTCCTCCAGGACTTGATGTCTGGCAGAGTTTAACAAGTCCTGTTAAAAAGTTAACTGCTCTCTTTGAGTATCTGTTCCACATCTTTTCTTGTGAAGGAGAAATTATTTTAATTTCTAATCCAGATTGAGGCCTTTCGGTTCTGCTCTCACTGTCAAAATTAAATAGATCGCTTACATCTGCATCATCTCTGCCTCTCATCATTTTAAGAACCTGGAACGTGTCACACATCAATGCGTATAACAAGGAGTAAAAACCAGGCTCTATGTGCCTTTAATAAGAGAGCTCTCATCTAACATCCCTCTTGCTCCTTTCTGAACTCCACCTAGCATGTCAATGTGATTTTGAGCTGTGCAAACATACACATGATGTTCCAAAAAGAGACCTTACTAGATATAGAATTACAGAAATTACAGCACAGAAGAAAGCCATTTGCTCGATCAAACCTGTTCCTGTGGAGCAAACTAGTTTAATTGCAATTTCCAACTCTTCCTTTAGTGTTATTGATAGCAGGTGTACATTATTTGGAAGTACCAATTGATCTAACAGATCATGTACAATTTTTATTACTTGAAGTTCTCCGAAAATGTATTTGCGGGTCCTGCGGGAGACAAATGATCACAAATGATTTCTTTCCTCCAAGAAAAATAAATTATGAGATTTCTCTGTAACCCAAACACAATGGAAGAACATTTTAGGTAATATTCTACAATCCATATCTTGATTTTATTGTTACATTATACATTATATAAGCCTAATTGTATTCTATAGATGACATTTCTGTTAGTATTTAAACACCTATCATTTATATCTTTTTTAATCCCAAACCTCAACATACCCTTTCACAGCCAGATATACATCTCAATTTTAAAGCGGTTAATTGAATTGATATTTAAGTTTACATGTACTACTTTGTACATGTGACATACTTCCAGGTACCAAAAGGAATGCTCTACAAGAATTCCACTTTGGAATTAGCTGTGTTGGAGTGAGTTAGTTTTGGTCAGCCAGGTGTCTGACACATGCGGAAACCAATTACCATGTTGGAGCGAAATTCACGAGTCAGTGGGATGTAGTTTTCGTTAGCCCAAAGCGTCCCTCAGTTATTATTAAGGAATCCCCTTATGAATCAATGCAAGACCCCAATGTTTGTGTTACTACTGGGAAACTCTACAATACTTTCGTATAGCATATCAAGTCATAAGTAAGATATTATAACCAAATATGTGCTTCTAGTTTGCGGCTTCACCTTTGCAAGCAGGGAATCACTGTCAGAAGTTATTCTTGTCATTACACATTCACGTTCAATTATCCGACACAGGTGATTGATTGTGTTGGCATCCAACAATTTCACTGTCATTGTTTTGTCTGTTGCTGTCAGACTGCATCATTACTATCTATGATGATAGTAAGGCCTGCTGGTTAGAGACTGAAAAATGTATTCACTTTAAAACACTTCTCTTCTGTATAGAATTTAATGACATGATGTTGAAACGTTTCACTAAAACCTGACAAAAGTTGACAAAGAACTCTTGTGTTAAATATCCATATTATATACTTTAATTGATTTGTTGTCACTCTATACCCTTCCACTTCCAACTCCAGACACATTGCACAATTTTTCGGCTGGGACCTTGAGGCAAAATGCTCCCAAACCCATGCTGATGCTTATCTATGAGAATCCAAATCAATTCTAAATTACCCATCAATGTACGTCTCCTTGTGCCTTTATCCTCAGTGTGTTAAAGTCAAAATTAATCACATTCCTTTCTATAACTCATTCTTTCTCAGTCTTACCGACTGTGGAGCTGCTAATCACAGCCAGCGATCTCTTTATCCTACAACTCACATACTTTTAAAACATAAGTTTGAAGTCACTGAACCATTCCTCTTAATCTACCTCATTTCCTTTTGTATTCTTTTCTACCTTGGTTATACAGTATATTGCATTGTAAGCCTTGGTGTATCATACAGGTTTGCGGTTTATAAAAACAAAATAGTGCTGACCAGTTTGGGACCAAAAGCACATCTCTCACTCACCTTTTAATACTGTAGTTTCATCTTGCAACCTATAAAAATATAACCTATTGGTGCTATTCTGAGAAAGTAATAAAATGTAGTATTATTACTGTCTAACACATTTTTAGCAGTGCATTCTGGATAGCAAGCTGTTGAAAACCTTTTCATTGAATTATATAGTATTTGCACCAGTTCTAAGTTGTTTCATCCATAATGCAGTGCTGTGGACATGTTTTAAATATAATTGTAATTTTGTAATTACCATGGTGG